TTTTTGTTTTTTTAAGAAGTTGTATCTTATTGAAATGAGCTTGATAGCTTTGAATATTGGGCCGTGGATTTCTAGTTCAACATTTGCAACGACAAAAACTATGACCCTCTTCTTCGTGCCTTCATCCACGATAGAGGCGGGATGGAGTTACAAAGACACTTGAAGGCAAGCCTGCAACCTTAGGCCAAAAAAGCGTAACACTGGGTAATGCTTCGGTACTTAGGGAAGGAGATGAGACGAGGCTGTTTATTTTTTAATGGATGTCAAGGGAGGAGAGACTCATATGCTGAATAAACCGCTTTTGTGAGGAAATGGCTCGTTTAATCGACAGCTGATCTTCATGTTTGCTCTTAAACATTCGTTTTGGATTGAATGATTGATTGACTGCCGCACAACTCTGAATGAAATGTAATGATGTCAAGGCTGAAATGTGATTGGTTATCAGTGCACACGTGATCCAAGCTAGCCGTTATGCTTTTTTCAATGGTAGAGCCACGAACCCTGGTATCGCCCAATAATAAGACCATCTCGGGTACACTGAGAAAAAAAAAAAAGTGTGTTGGATTTACATGATTTGATAGTGTACATCGGTCCCACATGAACCAATTAAGTTACACCAACATAATTTATTCATGTAACTTCAACATCATGGAATTAAGTCATTTTAAGTTGCCCAATGAATGAATGAATGAATGAATGAATGAATGAATGAATGAAGTTGCCCAATTAATTGAATTGTAAAAGGCTCTCTGATTGGGTGATTCAGGTATTCAAATCCACATATTAATTTATCCAATTAAGATTTAATGTATTTTAGTGTCACACAGCTCAATTTCTAGTCTCTAGCCAACAGTTAGCTACCAACAGTACTTGTTAGCATCTTAAATGCTAAGGTGTACAAGCACCTTCAGCAAGAGCAGTTGCTATAAGCATAGCTGAATCGGTCCACAGCCTAACCAAATGCTCCAGTCTTGTCCACAATGGTAACCCACTGTAATTTAAATGGTTCTAATAAATCCAATGTAATTGAACATTAAACACAATTACACACTTTTTCTCATTTTCTCAAAAACATATAAAATAACACTTCATTTCAACATTTATTCTCTCGTAATTCAGACATATGCAAAGCATGCTGGGAATTAACACGCACCGCCCAGTTTCAGTTAATTCAGTTAACAAATCGTTCATGTAATCCCACACAAACGGATTAAGTAAACTTAAATTGTACATATATTTAAGCAGATTGGACACAATCAAATTAAGTTTGGACAAAATGTATAGCAATTGTGTTGCTTAAGCTAATTTTAATTAAGCAATTTGAACAAGCAGCAAAAATAAAAAATTTCAGTGTAGTTATGAGGATTTTCTGACAGTTTGAGGATCCAATTGAGTTACAAGGTTTAGTCACAAGCTCTTTTTAAAACTATTCATTGGTTAAATATCTGCAAAACACACAGACAGGTGTAAAGGGTGACCAATAGTAATAAAAAAAAATGAAATAGGGAGACAGCCCAACAGTGACGACGATATACAGTAAACAATAATGTGCTAATGACAAGTATTATCTTATTTGTTCAGTATATTTACAAAGTACATAAATTAAATGGATTATTTGTTAATTTGAACTGAAACAGATAAGATACATTGGGCCACCACTCAATTATTTGGAAAGACTTAATTTGAGTAATCAGCTTAAAAAATTGTATTTATGCTACACAGTTTCTCTTGGTGTAAGAAGTCGTAATTCAAAAATAATAATTCTTGAGCCAAAACATTAGTTTTACAGTGAATGTCAGACCTAACGCGTCCTCTTAACCACCATCTGTCCCAGACATCTATAACGCTGCACGCCTGTCTGGCCGCTCCTCACGTCTCTGCTGGATTGGTCACACAAGCTTGGCTATATCACAGTAACTCGACACGTTCTCCAGAGACTGTCTTTCCACAGTTCCTCAATAGATCCACTCAGCACTGTAGGATCACAGCTTGACTCTTGGTGATTTCCCCCAAAAGCCGCATTTTGATTTCAACAAAAAAGCACAGATCGGATTCTAATCTCCTTGCCTTCACCTCGCCTCTGGCTTTGTGTGACTTGAATGACAGGGAATGATTGTGAATCTGTTGAGGTATTACTGGCCTTAGTGTACAGCTAAAGGGATTATTTGTTACTTTCAAGGAAGATGATGATTTTAATATGCACTCCATGGCTGAAATTGTGAGGACACTCGAACACCATGGTCGTCGGTTCACCATGGTCGTGGCCGTGCTTGTTGAATTTTTCATTTCAAAACCATGGATGTTTGCTTCTTGAACAGCTTCCACTGTTTTTGATTGTCAGCGAGGTCAGGCACTGATGATTGGGTGGCGGATTTGTTCTCCTTTTCATTTGCTGATATTAAACTGTTTATGTAGATTACATCAGCTGTCACTCACCCTGCAAGGATGACATAATTTTGTAGGCAAACCCGGAAGTTCATCATAGGTCACTTGACGAAAACCTTTATTTTTTCTTCTTTTTTTTTTTTTTTAAATGGATTTTTCCATTGGCTTTTTGATTATTGAAGAAAATAAGCTCTGTGACCAACAAGAGTATATTATTCTTCTAAATATCTTGAGCTTGTGTTAACCACAGAACTTTTTTTCAGACATTTAACCAACAACTCATTTAAAAATGCATGACGATGTAACCGAAAGTGCTAAAATGCCAATTCGTTACCGGGTTTTGGCTTACAAAAATATGATGTCCTCTAAGTTTTTTGACTTTTTTTTTTTTTAATGTTTTTATTTTTATTTTATCTGTGGACACTCCAAGATTCAGTCAGATTAAAATTTCAGGATTGTTGAAGTTTTAAGACTTTACACTCTTTTTAAGCAATGAATTTGTATGACTTTTTCAGTCATTCATGATTGCTGGATTAGGACTTAAAAAAAACAACAACGATTTCTACATTTTATAATGAGGCATCTTTATATTTCCAGGTTTTTGGAAAAAATGTGAACCCTGATTCTTCTAAGAAAAAAGGAGGGTGAATCAAAATAATAAATACCTTGGTTTTTAATAGTTTTACCCTATTTTAATGCTTTTGTTTTTTAAGTAATCTTCAGTCCCCTTGAAAGTTTGCTGAGGCACCCTGGTTAAGAACCACTGCCCTAGAAGTTAATATTGACATTAGCCATGGGCAAAAAACCATATTTGTTGACTGCTATGTACAATTCAATGCACACACACAGGGGCTAATGATACCAAGTAAAGAGTGCTATGTTGTAGAAATTAACAAGAATAAATTTGAATTGTGTTTTTGTTTGTTTGGTAAGTAATGCATCTGAATTCTCCTTTGATGTCATCAGGAATGTGAATTTATTTTGTACCCTAGTCTGATGTGGATGCACAGCACATGTTTTTAAAGTTCATGACCAAATCTGAAACTAGAACTGGGCTTTTATAATGTGACGTCTTTTCTCTCAAACTGGTGTTGAGTGCATGCAGGTAGGTGGATGATTGCGTGGGCGATTCGTGTCTTCCTCTGCCTCTAATTTCTATCTCTTATCTTCTCTAACAGGAAAAAACACACTGACTCTACCAAACTTTCCCTAAACATGATGTCTCTGAGGGGGTCTCATGTTCTGCTATAACTTTCTGGATTATTAGTCAGCACAGTTAAAGAGAGGCATCTAACAGCACGTCTCTCCTCGAATGGCGTAGTTTGAGGTGTCATTAGTGGTGGTTGAGGAGATTCCCACTTCTATGTAAAGCGCTTTGAGTGCTGAGAAAAGCGCTATTATTATGTCCATGGCACCAAAATTGAACCGGTTTAAAGCTTTGCTGCAAATCCCTAACTTCAATATGACGAATAATAGTGAGGCCTGAGCAAACCACACTAAAATGACTTGCTGCACCTCTTTTCTTATGAGCTTTTACTATGTGCTGAAACATGATACTGAATGGTCCAGTACTGGACCTCTAAGGAACATTGCACTCTTGTCGTAGGTGATGGTTTATATTACCATTGGAAAAAGAAGCCCAGACAGCCCGTCGCTGTTGAACTTTGACCTGTGGTATTTGTTTGCATCTGCATTTTAACCCTGATGTTGGGTTCAGTAAAACTCATATATCGGTCATGAAAAACAGCACTTTCTTAATAGTGCTTATTAATAGTGCAAAAATGGTGTGTGTTGTGTGCAAATTTAAAAAAGCGTCCACCACTCGATGCACCCCACTTCATCAAAACACTGATTTTCTTTTGTGTGTGTGTGTGTGTGTGTGTGTAGCAACCATTTCATTGTCAATTGAACGGTTGTAAATTCTGCAAACAGTCCAAACTGCAATACAATCATAAAACTAGAAGCAGGTGGTAGCAGTTTTTTCATTATATTAGTCAATGTTTTGTGTTGCTAATCTTGGACTTGCTTTTCTAGTGCGATATGTTTAAAATGTAAGTCATGTCATTTTAATTGTCTTGGCTTATTTTATTGTCGTTTGGCATCAGGAGCGAAATCCTTTTTGTAGTGCTATTGCTAATTAAACTACAGTAGTATCAGGGCTTGATCAGTGGAAATAAAGGCAGGTTGTGTAGAAGTGCCATTCGATATGATGAGAGAGAAAGGGAAAGCGAGATGAGATAACTGTAATTAGAAGCCGAAGGAAGAGGTGGCCCTGACTCGTATGGAAGACATCCAAGACTTTGTTAGCACTAGACAGGCAACAATGTTAGAATGCTAATACCTGACACCTGTCCAGTCGATGCTCTAGGTTTGCTCACTTTCTTTGTCTCTGTACATGTGTTTTCATGACCAAAAACCATTACAAGCTACTCTGCAATTTGAGATCCAACTTGTAAGAGAACCCTGTCAACCAAACCAATTTTTTGCACTATCAACCAATTTCTGTGCTGAGTTTTTTGCTGAAGAGAGAAGGTTTGGTGTTCTGGATGTGTGTTAAACGCAAGAGTAATGTACACTGTTGTGATTTCCCATTCTTCTCTTTTGCAGTGAAAGAACCTGGAGATGTCTCAGAAGAAGATCTTCCTAGTGTTGATTGCACTCAGTACTGTCAGCTTGCTTCTGCACCATGGGGGTCACTTGAACTTGTAAGAGTTTCTTCCATTTGTCCTTATCACGTTTCTATTGATGCATCACCATTTTTTTTTTTTTACCAAAACTGAAAATAGTTTAAATAATACAAATTAGGTAATTGGTTAATTTAACTCCATTCAGAGTATCATGTTCTCAGTGGATAAATTAAACCAGTTTTAGTGATCTCAATATTTCAGCTGAGAATTTAAATTTGACACATTGCCAAATTGTTTTGTCTCACTGAAGTATGGACACACATGACATGTTTACTACTTGTTGTTTATCCATGTTTTGTGCAAGTATCATCGAAGAAGCGCTAATTAAAAGTGACTTTTTTGGCACTTCAAAACTATTTAGACCGAATCAGAAAATCAGTTTTTTGTTTCAACAAAATTTTTGGGGGTTGGTGAAATTTAAAACTATCACTACTCATTCCTCTCCTCTGCCACATTTGTTTTTGGTCTTTTGGTCTGTTTATTTGCTTCCTGCTTTACCTTGCTGGTTAAGCTCCTTGGCCAACTGGTCTCCCAACTTGACCAGTTGACAAGTGCCCAAAATACCTTTAAAACCAGCAAACCTGACCCAGATGAAACCAGCCTGGTGGTCAGCTAAAACCAGTAAACCATCTTACGCTTAAAGGTGGCTTAAAATCCCTACTGATAAAACCTTAAGATGATTTTATTAGTAGGGTTTTTTGTTTGTTTTTGCATTACAATTCTTCTTATCTTTCCACATTGATTTGCAAAGCTGACTGCATTGATTTTCCATTTGTTATTGCAGGACGTTAGAGGCATTCTGGTTGGGATGTCCATCCTCCATAATCTCCTCCACCCAGCGCAGCAGTGGACCTGCTAAACACACCAGTATAGCCTTCTTGAAGACTCATAAAACCGCCAGCTCCACTGTGCAGAACATCCTCTTTCGCTTTGCAGAACGCAACAACCTCACTGTGGCGCTGCCCATCACCACCTGTGACCACCAGTTCTGCTACCCTCGGCCGTTCAGCTCCCACTTTGTTCACCCGCACACCACGCCACCTGACATAATCACCAACCACTTACGGTTCAGCCGGGCTGAGCTACGACGCCTCATGCCCAACAACACTATGTACATCACTATATTGCGGGAACCGGGAGCGATGTTTGAGTCTCTTTTTACCTACTTCAATCAGTACTGTCTTAGCTTTAAACGTGTCCCAAATGGCTCTTTAGAGACTTTTCTGGAGCACCCTTGGAGATACTATCGTCCAGAAGAGAAGGATTCGATGTATGCGAGAAATACACTGACTTTTGACCTAGGTGGTGATAAGGACCGGCCATATTCGGAAGCGGTGGGGTATGCAAAACGATTCGCTGCGGAGTTGGAGCGGGTGTTCTCGTTGGTTATGATCGCGGAATACTTTGACGAATCATTGGTGCTGCTACGCCGCTTGTTGTCTTGGGATCTCGATGATGTTTTGTATGTCAGTCTCAACATGCGCACACCTGACTCCAAGAGCAGCCTTTCCAGCGAAAATACGGCCAAAATCAGAGCCTGGAACACAATAGATTCTGTACTGTACGATTACTTCAACGCTTCGCTGTGGCGGCAGCTGAGAGCATTGGGACTCGCATGTGTCGAGCGAGAAGTCCTGCTGTTGCGACAGTCTCGTGACCGACTTGTCCGTAGCTGCTTCGGGGGAAATTTGCCGCCTCTTCGCTCTGCTGCACAGATCACGAATAAGGAATTACGGCCTTGGCAGCCAAGTGGCAAAGTGGCAATCGTTGGGTACGATTTACCGGTTAACGTAACACAAAAAGGCCCCATCCCTCCGCAAGACAAGTGTCTAAAGATGATAATGCCAGAAGTGCAGTACACACGGCTGTTGCTACGCTCAGAGTCTCTACAATACCGGAAGCGGTTTCCGTTACGGAGCTCCCAGCAGACTTCACGATCTGTGGGACAAGTTCGGGCACACAGAGAGTCCCCAGCTCCGAGTTTGATCCCACGACCATCAGATACGATGACTCGGAGCACCAAAGAAGCGCTACGGCTTTCCCAATGACCAGTGTGAAAGGATAGTCAAACTTCTCTCCTTTTATTCCCCACTCCTTGTTCTGGACTGCAGCTAAATATCCATGAGTTGTTGGAATTACTTGAAAGCTTGAGGTCATACCTCATTTTTATTAGATGTGAGCACAACCAAACGTACGCTCACAACTCTTGTTCTATAAGTTAGAAACACCATTGTGTTGTAAAAATACAATTTAATTGTAAAAAGGTGAAGGAAAATATATATTGAAGTCTAAAAGCCTGACATCTGGAATGTCTCAATCTCTCAAGGACTATCTCTCCATATATACCCTCATCACTCACTGTTTGTAAATAAGCAATCAGCTTCAGATGGTACATGGTTTCATATGGTTTTTTAGCTAGTTAAAGCTTATCTTTTATGGTCATAGCTGGTCTAGATGGTTGATCAGTTACTGTTTTTGGGTTAACCTGGTAGATCATCTTGGTCAAAGTTGGTTAGACCACCTTGATAGACTCCCAGCAACAAACCTGCAACCAGGAACAAACCAGCTTGGCATGACCTTGAATACACGACAGGGTTTCAGAAGATATCTTTGCTGTATTGGAGTTAAGACATTTGAGTTGAGTATTGTTAGGCTTCCTTTTAGCGACAGCGCTCCGTTTAAGTGTGAACATTCACACACTCATCAGCATAATGCCTGCTGCACCTGAGCCACAAATTGCCATAACCTACTCTTCAGTTATGGTCAAAAAACCTCGCATCATGTGTCGATGATGATGCAACCATCTTATAGGATATTCTGTTTTACTCTACTCTTTTTGAGCAGTGCTTGGGTTACACAGCTTATTTTTTTGTATGAGGCCACTACTGAACAAGCCAGAGAGCTTCAGCCTTGACTAAAAGCTGGGAATGGCGACAAGACAATTCGTCTACATGGACAGTGACCGAAAAATCGCTATATGTTCTCTGCCAGAGTGAGCATTGTTAGTTCGATCCTTGTGTGTTTTTCGGGATAATCTTAATACTGCAGTGCACTTGCAAATGCGTAACTTGTATGTGATCAAATTAGAGTAGGAAATAGAGCTCCAAATTGTCAGTTTAAGACAAGTAAACTCGATTTTAACAGATTGCCTGTGTTCACATACTTGCGTAGAGTATGTTTCTGGCCTAACTTTTCCTTTTTGGATCTTCGCTTAAAGGCACTGTGATGTAAAGGTACTCGTGGTGACCGACTGAATGGTGGCCACCTTCATAAAGAGTCGTGCCAGTGGAATGTAAAAACAGTCCTTCGACTGTCTTTTTACTTAAGACAACACTGCATCACTTTCATTTAGGCCAGTGTTTCTCAACTGGTTTGCTTTTGCAGCATAGGAGTGACTTTGAAATAAATTTGCTCCAAGTTACCATAGAGTCTGACTGGATGCATTAAATCAGACCTGCGACCAAACAGTTGGGAACCACTGGTTTAGGACAGTGTTTCCCAATCCTGTACCTATAGGCACCCCAACACTACACGTTTTTGAACTCTTCCTTATCAAGCACACCTAAATCAACTCGTCAACTAATTAGTAGAGACTCCTTAGACCTGAAATGGATGGGTCAGATAAGGGAGACATTCAAAATGTTGGGGCGCCTCCAGGAACAGGGTTGGGAAATATTGGTTTAGGCAACCAAATAGAAACTGAATACCTCTGAAAGAACAGCCTCTTACAGAAGGTTGTTTTTAATATTGGTTTATTTGCCATTCAAAGCCTTTGCTGCAAGGTTTGTTCGGTAGAAATGTTTTTGATTAAGCTCAATTTCATTGTGGGTTAAGTCATAATTTTCATCTTTCATTTGGTAAAATCTCACCATCTTATTTTACGTACTGTACTTTTTAGAAAATAGTATTTGGAGCAATATAGCAATGGCGTGTATGCCATAACGTTAATAAGTATACTAGTCAAATGGAGGTATAAAGATCAAAACATAACGAGTCTTGAAACAATCGTCCACCTGTAAACCAGCTCCTGTTTTTAGGAGTCCCGGTTGATATTTGAAGAAATACTGTTGGTGTCTCTTACATAAAGTCTGGATCTACGAATCCCAAAAGCCAACATTCTCATTTCTTTATGTTTCAAAATTAGAAAATACCTCAGATGATAAATTAATATTGCTGTTAGTGGAAGTGTCTCAGTCCTTAAAGACGGTCAAGACATTTGAGATGTAGAAAGTGCTCTTTGTATATAATGTACTTTCTGTTGTACATGAACAATTGTGAGTTAAAATTTAAACTCAAAACGTTCGTCATTCTTGTTTGGGTTAGAAAACCTCTCGGTAGATGACACGAGACAATTCAATGGACTTTTGTCATCTCAGACGTATTGTAAGAGAAATTAGAAGTAAAGCATTTACTGTATCACAATTTCCTGTATACAAAGAACCTGCTGTGCAATTGCAACCGGAAGACCTTTTCATGAAGACAATATGAGAGATTTTTTGTGCTGGTTGGTGAGATGACAATAGATGCCAATCTGTCAAAATCATTCTTTCATACTTTATTTATTTAATTAACTGCTACATTTTCCGTGACTTTTTAGGGGCTTTAAATAAGATGACAATCAGAGGTTTGCTTCTAAAGCTGTGTGATGAAAGATGTGAAAACATTGACCATTAAAACTGGAAAAACAACATCCTTCAGGCTCGTGTGCTTCATTCCAATCATCTAGATTTCTATATTTCTGTCTGTTTATATTTAAAATGTTGACTAACAAAGGACCAACCATTGAGTGAGTAGGAAGGGAAAGGGCTGTGAAATATCAGCTGGCTAACACGAATACATTTTCCAATTCATCAAGTGGAACAAGTCTAAAATACCATGTTTTTGTGCTATTTTGAGTGATGATTGATTACATTTTCATAAATGAGCATCCTAAACGAACGTCAACTTGCCCTTCGGTCATTTTCGGTCCGAAACATGGTAAAGGTTTTGGCACTTTGCTATGAGAACACACATAAAAATCATGAACATGATTCGGAAAAAAAATGCAATGGAAACAAAATTAACACAAATGGGAAACGCATTTCATCTAGTGGACACGTTTGGTACTGCGTCCAAACAAAATCTTACTGAAAGCTCATTTTTTGAGATATCAAGCTCAAATTTGGAACGCAACTTGTTTAGATTTATGGCTTTGATTTTCTTGCAGTTTTAGAGTAAACTGTGTTTTGGAAAATATATATTTCATATAAAAATTGAAAATAGTATTTTTGTGCATTTTTTTTTATAACAATAAACGTAAATAGTTCTATACGTAATTTTTTTTTTTTTTTTTTTACTTGTCTTGAAAAAGAGACCAAACTTCAGTCTGTGCTCCAAACCATTCACGAGTTATGACAGTTTTAGTTGGACATTTCATTTACAGGTCTATGCTCAAAAAGTGTATAAATGGATTATAACTGCTGCTTAAATATAATTTAGTAGCATAAAATCCCCTAAAAATACAAAATATGAAATAAAAGACATTGTCAAATTAAAATATAGTCATTCATTTAATTGAAATAAAAATTTCCAGTTATTTTTGACCGCCATGCAAGCAACACCAGAGGGTTAGGTTAATAGCCTGATTCATTATTTATTCTTATTTTTATATATGTGGCCCTGGACCACAAAACCAGTCACATGGGTCAATTTTACTTTGAGATTTATACATGATCTGAAAGCTGAATAAATAAGCTTTTTATTGATGTATGGTTTGTTAGAATAAGACATCTGTGAAAAAAAATCAAAACATTGAGAAAATCACCTTAAAAGTTGTCCATTTATGTTCGCGATTGTGCAGCATTCACTCACAAAACTAAATATTTTATATATTTACGGTAGGAAATTGACAAAATATCTTCATGGAACAAGATCTTTACTTAATATCCTAATTATTTTTGGCATAAAATAAAAATCGATAATTTTGACCCATATAATGTATTGTTGGCTATTGCCACAAATATACCCTGCGACATGTGACTGGTTTTGTGATCCAGGGTCACAAATGTGTTTTTCTGGTTTTTTTTTTTTTTTTTTTTTTTTTTTACATTTTATGCGTTTTCAAAATGCTGCAGTAACTTCATGATGTCCCTTTGCAGTGTTTTAAAAACCTCTGATTAGACATGAATCTAAAGCTGAAGAATAAAAGGGAATTGTAGCTGCAACATTGGGAAGCCCATTGAAGGAGTGTGTTGTTAATGCAGCCGGATGGATCGGAGAAACAACTGGAATATGAAATGCAAGTATGTGCGGAGTTCATTCTTCAGCTGTTTATGAAAGTGACATATGACTGTTAAATAATGTCAAATTTGGGCTGTACCGAATAGCACACATACATTTTTCCAAAATGTTCCCTGCACAACAAAGCAGACTGCATGTATCCCACAATGCAATGTAGTCGACTTGACCTTTCATTCGATTTGATTTTTACACTTGACTAAATAAGTTTAATTATTAAAAAATAAATCCAATTCTTATTTTAATCATCTTGCAGATTTTAGGGGGTATTTAAAATGTATTCATTTATGCGTGCATGATATATAAACGTATACAACACTTGGTAAAGGCTCATAGGAAATACTTCTAGCAAACAGAATTGAAGGTTGACTTGGTGCAGTAAGAAACCTTTCAGAACATATTAGGAACCGAATAGCAACACAGTAATCAGCATACACTCTTAAAAATAAAGAGTTCAAAATGGGGGTTTTGAAGTGAAGCAAAGAACCTCTTAAAAATAACCTTTTTTCTTATATGACAAATGACACACAAAAAAATTGTGCAATGGACAAATTCCATGGGAGTTAAAGGAACCATCAATGGCAATAAAGAACTTTTATCTTTCCGATCTTCATCCCTTTAGCTTCTAGTCTCATGGTAACATGTTCTCTGTGGATGCGAGTAACTTGCACACTGCATGTGTTTAAATGAAGCAGAATCATGGGCGAATCAAAAGTGCACAGGCAGATACACACAGACTGTGTGTGTGTGTGTGTGTGTGTGTGTGTGTGTGTATGCTTTCTCTAACCAAACAGATCACTACATACAGGAGCGAAATAACATGGATGACGA